CTTGTATGTAAACATTACCTTCTCGGAAGACGTCGGATAAAAGTTAAAAAACCTTCCTTCAACCCGTCATATCTTTGGTACCGATTGATGAATGTATGTATGCAAGAAACGAGGACACAACAGCTATCATTGTGGATTATTCACTGCAATACTGTGCAACAGTTTCAATCGGTATACTGATAATTATTGAATTAAAGATAATGAATTTTCCTATAGCGGCATCGTTACCAATAATGTATAAATTGCCGTATAATGTATATTTGACAGCAATTGAACATAGATTCCATGTTTATTGATAGATAGACACTAAAACCTACTCAAAATATGATATACTGCGATATACATTATATAGTTAGATATCTAATGTACAATTACACTGGAAACCGTGGAACAACTGAGAATTACAATTATAACAAACCCGTACACTCTCCCCAATCCAAAAATAAATAAAAACACCATATACAATAACCTAAGAGACACATCTAAGTGTATGGGACTTGAGCCATTCAGAACATGCTCATCCATCCCCTAATTTCACTGTCCTCCTTGATATCTCCGCACAAGCTACCCCATGTGTGAATGGTATACTGCTAAAATTCACATTACTTTATTTATTGTTATCCAAAAATGGGATAGTGGCTTTTCTGAGAAGTAAATTATTGTGTTATATAATGGTTTACTTGTTAAAGCTAAGATGACAATAAGGATCTTCCCAGGTTCCGATGAATATTTTCAGGAATAACATGTAGCTGAATTCACAGTAATCATATTTTATTTTGTAATTTCAGTATTAGCAACATGATCTGCATAGCTTGTTTTGAAGAACATAATTTAATTGTATGAGCATATCCTACTTTCAGTAATGCAATTGTTTAACCCATAGTTGATGATAAAATTATGTTACTTCGCTAATGATGGTAATATTTAATCTTGTTCTTATTTTTCAGACTGCATCACTTAATAACCTTTGAATTATATTACACATTGCTGACTACCATTTTATAGGAAATTGTTTTGAATTGTTCTAGATTGGATCTTTCTATTTTTCTTACAGGATTTAAAGACATTCCAGCACAAAATAGAAAGACATGTCACACTCTTTTGATGTTGTTGATACCAGTGTGGATACTGATGAGTATGAATCAGCTATGGGTAAGTGTTGATAGAGATTATCTTCATTTAATGATAATAAAGAAGACATTGCAGTATAAAAGAATATATGAGAGAGAGAGAGAGAGAGAGAGAGAGAGAGAGAGAGAGAGAGAGAGAGAGAGAGAGAGAGAGAGAGAGAGAGAGAGAGAGAGAGAGAGAGAGAGAGAGAGAGTCAGTCAGTCAGTCTAGATAAATCATAGATTTGAAATACTTACTTGTAAGTGACATTTTGTACCTCATTTTTGTCACAGATTCAACACCAATTCAGTCATTTTCAACAACGGAAGGCATGATCTCAGTGACAGAGCCTGCACCCTCTTCTGATATTGTTAAGGAAAGATGGACAAACTTGCTTGCATACTGGCTTCTTGGACTGACAAACAACTTCGCTTATGTCGTTATGTTGTCAGCTGCCCATGATATCCTTTCTCAGGATTTCAGTAAGGATGCAGTAGGTGTAAGTACCCAAATCTTAACCCATCAAATACTAGACTTTTTATATTAATCCACATTTATAATTGATAAAAATACATGAATTAATTATTTTTTGATTCCATTATGTGTTTTTTCTTTATATACTTTATAGTTAAGAGTCTAGATTTTTAGAAATATTAAGTTAATCAGGATCTAAGCTTTCTATATTTTTTGATTATGTAGTTAATGAGAAAATGTAAACTTTATGTTCATTAGCTAACTTGCACAGTGAATATTAGTTGATTAGCCATTATATTTACAGAATGTTAGATTTATTATTAATTATACACCATGTATGTTAAACCCAATGCTCCTGGGATCATGTAATATTCACTGCAGTGTTTTGTGAAATATATTTACAAATAAATGGCTCCACATGTGAGAAGCCGCCAAGGAGTTAATAGATAGACCTACGTAACCTCAAATGATTTCCCCTCTGATTGAGTTCAGGATTTTTTTTCTCATTTTTGTAATCGTATTGATATTGATGCTATTGATATCGATGCTGTTGCTATTATTATTGCTACTATGATTATGATATTGTTAGTAGCAATACTAATATGAGTATGAAATAAGAAATAAAAAATTTAAAATCAAAGAAAAGCATAAACATGTGAGATAGTTAGGATTGATATTGACTCTTTGGGACTAAGCACTTGTAGAGCCATAAATTCAATCAGTAAACTATAACTCACAGCTGGTTGAGCATGTATGTACCTACGATCTTCGGTGGCATTCGGTTAAGTTGATTCTTGATTACATGCAGTGGATATTGAGTTACTTAGCCATATACAATGAATATCAAGTTGATTAGGTATTATCTACATTTCCTTTAGCTCCCAGAAAATGCAACCAACATTAGCAACCCTCGAGACTGTAATCGCATGAGCACAGGCGCTATACTACTGGCAGACATTATACCCTCTCTGATAATGAAAGTTTTTGCACCTTTTATGTGGTCTCATATTCAGTGAGTATTTTTAGTTTTTTTATGTTTTATAAGGAATGTTACTTTCATTATTATTATTATTAGTAGTAGTAGTAGTAGTAGTGTTATCAATATGATCATTATCGTCAATATCATTATCATTATCATTTTAATTATTTATATTTTTAATTATTTTTATAATTTTTATAATTTGTATTATTTTTATTGTGTTTATTATTATTACTATTATTATTATTAATGTTGTTATTGTTGTTGTTGTTATTATTATTTTTGTTGTCAAAATATGCATCAGCTTTGACATGAACATCTTCAAAGTCATTATCATTATATGCTTATCATCATTATCATCATCATCATTATCATTATCATTATCATCATTACTGTTCTCATCATTATTCTCAATTATCATCGTCATCATCAGTGTCAGTTATGAGCATCAGCATCTGCATCATGTGTGCACACACACACACACACACACACACACACACACACACACACACACACACACACACACACACACACACACACACACACACACACACACACACACACACACACACACACACACACACACACACACACACATACACATACATACATACATACATACATACATACATACATACATGTATATACACGTGTGTGTGTGTATATATATATATATATATATATATATATATATATATATATATTTATATTTATATATATATATATATATATATATAATATATATATATATGTATTTTTATTTTATATTATATATTATTTATTTATTATTTGTATATTATGTATTGTGTAAATGTATATATGTATTTTATATATTGTATATATAGATATGTATTTGTTTATTTATTTATTGATTTATTTATTTGTATAAGTCTATAAATATGTATGTGTATGCACATATGTTTTCATTTATATTTTTTGAAGTGTATTTGTCTAAGTGTATTTATTTTATATATGTATATATATATATATATATATATATATATATATATATATATATATATATATATATATATATAATATATATACATATGCATATACACATATATATGCATATACATATGCATATACATATGCATATACATACATATACATATATATACATATACATATACATGTATATATATATATATATATATATATATATATATATATATATATATATATATATATATATATATAATACATATATATATATATATATATATATATATATATATATATATATATATAATATATATATATATATATATATATACATATATATATATATAATATATAAATATATATATATATATATATATAATATATATTATATATATATATATATATATATATATATATATATATATATATATATATATATATATATATATATATATATATATATATTTATATATGTGCATATATGTTTATGTGTGTGTGTATGTGTGTATATATAAATGTGATTAAACAAAGTGGTAATATTGATTCAATTATTTTTCCTATAAGGTAAGCATAATGAACCAATTAATCTAACAAGTGGCCTGTGTTTACAGTGTATGATTTGAGGTCTTATTATTGTTGAGTACCAGTTTTATATTCCCTTGATGACACTGAAGAGGTTTAAGAGCTGCCATCGTTTGTAACAAGGATTTCAGGTGATTCACCGTTGAATAGATGTGTTTGATATTGTCTCAGTCTGATTGATGTCAGCAGTTATATGCTTGTTTGTAGCAGGTAATTTTTTCATATTATTTTTGATGAAACCCTGTTTTCTCTTTGTGTGTTTTGCTTTGGACCTGATCTGTGACTTTTTGTGTGTATCTGCTAATGATTACTTCCATATGAACTAACACGTGATAATGATTGGTAACTCTTTGTAACAATATGTAATTACGCTTGGTGCCTCCCTGTAATGACCACCACCAGTCCGTGTGAAAAGTTTGGTAAATTGCAGTGATAAATAGTTTGTTATGTCATGTAAAGTCCTTTATTTGCTTAAAATTGGTATTTAGAAGTTTACATATATTACCCTATGGTATAATAGATGAGTCCAAAGTTATGATATGATATGTATGAGCAAAAATAAAGAGAGGCATGTAAGAGAACAGCATGTATTTGTTAAAGGAACTGTGGATGATGTTTTCCTTCATGTTCCAGTTTCCGTGTCGGGACAGTGGTTATGTTATGTGTCTTGTCCTTCGTTCTTGTTGGAGAAGCTGTGAGTGAGAACATGGCCATAATAGGAGTTGTGTGTGCTTCAGCCTCTTCAGGTCTTGGAGAAGTTACTTTCCTTGCTTACACAGCCAGGTTTCATAGGTGAGGCAAAGACATTTCATTGTCTTTATTTTCACTGAATGTAGATATCTTTTTATTCCTCTTCTTTGTGAATGCCTATGATTATGGGAAGAAAAAATAGATTCATTCACATAATTTTTGTTTCCTGCATTTTGTAAAGTTCAGAGAGATAGGATAATGTCTTCTTGTGATGTTAAAATGATAATATGGGATATAAAAATCTTCCAGGAATGTGGTGTCAACTTGGTCATCCGGTACAGGAGCTGCAGGACTCTTTGGTGCATTGAGTTATGCAGGGTTCACCTCAGCTGGACTCACTCCAAGGACAACAGTGCTTCTTATGCTGATCATACCAGTCGTTATGAGCCTAAGGTGGGTATTCTTGAGATTTTAAGCAAAAGAAAGTAATGTAACACATAGTTTTTTCCAATATAAACACATTTGAAATATTCCTTATCTTACAAAAATGAATTAAAGTAGGAGAAAAAAAAAGAAAAGAAAGAAAATTTATGTTTAAAAGTTATTAGAATTAATCTGTTGGATCCGGGTGCCTCACTGTATGGTTGGAGCCCAAAATCTGGGTATTAGGCTTACCTGAGTGGCAAATCTCCAGGGTATGTGGCTTACAGGCCTGGCCCACATGAACACACATGTGTGGTATCAAGACTCCTTGCCTGCCCTTTACAGTGATGATAACTTTTGCAATAGCATTTTTTGCTTTTCTGCCATTTTCCAAGGTTTTTATTTTGTCTTTTGATATGCTGTATCAAGAAGGTAATAGACTGTTTTCTTTTCACACACTTCATATCATCTCTTTGGGTAGTTTATTGCTCTGTACAAAAACAGTAACATTAAGTTTGTTATTTGTTTTATTTTTTATATTTTTGTGTTATTAAATTTTCTGTAATACACTCTCCACTGCTGGTCACATTAGGAATAGTATCCTGAGCATGGAAATAGTGTCTTCCCTGGAGCTGGCACTCTTCCATTCATAGCTTAAAGATGGTATATTCCATACTTGTTTACCAATGGAAATAATGCAAAAGCCCCTTCCTAAATACCCATTGAGTCTGATCACCCTGCAAGAGCTTTGTTGTCTTGTGGCGGGTCATTCTTCTCACTCCAGGCATTGGCCAGTTTTATATGACAGTATATTCCCATCACCTGGCCCTCAGCCATAGTTGCTAGAACATTCTGAGATTATTTATAAAGTGATAATATGGTTGTCTATATTCATGAGATTCATATATTGCATTGTATTAGAGATCTACTAAGACAATTAAGTACCTAGAACACTGAAATTTCAAGTTAGTTGAAGATCAAGAGATGCAGAAAATTATATGAAAAATATTGTGGCAAATTAGTAACAATATTTGAAGAAAAAATTGCATTAAGAAAGGGACAGAGGGAAGAATTCATCTCCAAAATACCAATTTCAGTTTCTGGTTGTTGCTTAAGCATCCAAACCAAGCAGGACTCTGTGGATCACGTCAACACTACAAAATCATCAGGCAAGAGGAAGATGATGAAAGCATTGAGGCTAAGGACTTTGAGGTTTCCCTCAGGTTTTCAGAAAAAATGGAGCTCCTGCCATCCCTTCTGAAGTACATGATCCCCATTGCTCTTGTTTATATTGCAGAATATGTCATTAACCAAGGCCTGGTGAGTTGTCCTCTTTATAAAGGTTTGCCCTTGCTTTCATGTGTTAAGTCAGCTTTGGTGATTATCTCTCCACTGCTTGGCAAATTTTTACCAATGTGGGCAGATATGAAGCTTCTGTTTGAACATACAAAGGGTTTGGAATGTTGAGTCTTCAGTATAAGATTATGGAAAAGACAAAAGTAAAAAGATTTTCCTTTAACGATTGCAGGTCGAATTAATCTACTTTCCGGATCAGAAGGATTGGCTGAACCATCATGAACAGTATCGATGGTATCAAGCAACATACCAGCTTGGTGTTCTCTTATCCAGGTCGTCAGTTAATTTCTTCTACATTCGCCAAGTTTGGATTACCACTGTGTTGCAGGCAAGTATTTGTGATGTTGATTTGCTTTCAAGGAATGGAGTTCTCAAAGCTAAAACAAGATCACTATTTTCTATTTCTGCGCATTATTTGTTTAAGCCTTTTCATGAAGCCTTTGCAGACAGTTTACTCAAGATGTTTTATATATATGTAGTAATACACAACAGTTCAGATGTTTTTTGACAGTGAAAGTAGTGAAAAAATCTCAAAGTTTTTGGTGTAATTTAGAATTAGTTTTTTATGCAGCTTATTGTAGAGAAAGAGCTGCACTGAAAACATATGATAGAAGATAGTCTCAAATGAAATGATATATATATATATATATATATATATATATATATATATATATATATATATAATATATATATTATATATATATAATATTATATGTATATAAATGAATTGGTAAGTTATGAAACAAGTCTGTTTTTATCTCTTGCAGTGGATCAATGTCCTTATCTTCCTAACTTGCGCCGTCTTCTGGTGGATCAGCAGCATCTGGGTCGTTCTTGTGTTGATTCTGTGGGAGGGACTCTTGGGAGGAGCAGCGTATGTCAACACGTTTTATAAGATCACGCAAGAGGTATGTTAGAATGTTATCCTTTTGAGAAGGAAATATTTCTTTGGAGAATGATATATTTTTCAATAGGCTATGAGGATAAAATGAATGATCCATATTTAACCATTAAACTTGATGAAATTTAGTTACTTCTGCAGTAAACATTCTTTTTTTTTTTTCATTTGAACAGGTCAGTGATCACCAAAAGCCCTTTGCCTTAGCAATTACAACACTCTCAGATACTGTGGGTGTAACTATCGCTGGATTTATTTCAATTCCTCTTCACAATGTGATTTGTCAACTACCTTTGTAAAAGCTTGTGATCATTAGTATTCTTATTTACACTTGATATTACATTCTAATGAACCTGAGTGGTATGATAAAATGTAATCACTATGTAAGTTGACAGAATGATGTCATATGAAATATAGAGTTTTGCTTCTTAAATGCTTCAGTAACATTGATTTTATAATGTATAAAATATTTATGATAACTACTTGACTAAGCTTATTCTCTGAAGATCTAGATGAAAGGGAGCATCAGAGTAAAATAAGCAGGCATAAGTGTCAGCTCAGAAAAGGTTTCTTTTCTTATTCTCACTTTTCATATTCAGATAAAACTATATACTTTTTTGTGATACAAAACAAAGGAACAGAAGAAGTTTAAATATTTTTCTACCTATATATTTTTGTTTTTATATATTTAGACAATATCAGGTTTACAGAAAGAATATTTCTGATTCCAGATTCATACAGAATATAGATGTAAAGAAGACTTACAGACATTGCGTACAAACTCAATGCAAATAAGTGTTTGAATTTAGAATGCACTTAAAGCAAACCGTCCGTCCAAAGATTCTCACTTAAGAAAAATACTGAATATAGGGAGAATTTAGGAAGATATTTGATACAAGTAAAATAGTCCGTCCTTAAATGTCCTTTGAGACCTGTCCTTTGAGGCAGAAAATAGGTCAGACTGTAAGGAGGATGGGTCAGTGGGGGCATTGTATAAAAAGTCATTTAACATTCCAGTTACTTTTCAGTGTTATTATGTATTTTCCAGACATAATATACCCAGATCTAAAGGATAATACTTAAAGGTTATTCTCAGGAAAAGAAAGATGTACTTTACTCATTTAGAGAAAAGTCTAGTCTATTTGCTCTGGGATATTTTACTACTGCTGTATAGAAGCAAGAAAATGTATTTTTCTGATCTATATGATACATTAACCTTTCATACTTTTTTATATACTGAAGAAATAAGATTCATATTCGTATTTATTAATTTGATTTTTTGTTTTCATTCTTTCTTTATCAGTTACACTGGTATGAATATTCAGAAAATTATATTAGAATGTGTATTTGAATTAAGCAAAACAATGATGATAAAAGGTGTAAACATACAGATCTGATATTTTATATGTTATATTTCATAATGTTTGATTATACAGGTTTAACCTCACATATCTAATGGCCTCAGTCTTTTGGAAAAGTCATATGAATCTGGCTGTTATTAGCCTGCATGCCTGCTGCTTGGCCATCTGTGTCTCTGTAAACTTTTGATAGAGGATGAACACTGTCATAAGAAGTCCAGTAAGCCTGAGCTAGGTTTATGTCTGTGTAAGCTGTATCGGTTTTGCAGTTCAGCATTTGTATTATTTTGCCTATTTTAGCCTAAACTAATGAGATTCAATCACCAGTTCTGAATACTATGTGTCAAAGTTTCTTTGGGCATAAGCTTTCATAAGAGAATATATAACCAAGCAAAAGAAAGCTTTTCTTGCTTATTGCTATAATCTGCAACATTTTGAAGTGCTTACTAATTCAAATTATTTCTGAAGAAAGCAATTACTAGCTTAGGCTTCACATAACATTTCAAATAATAATGTAGACTGTCTTGTGAGGTAAGAAATCATTGCTTTTAAATCAGTAAACCTGTTTTCAGATAGGAATTCGAGACTGAAATTTATTAGTTTCATTACTGAGTTGCCAGTGCCTAGGACTGTGTTATGAATATGAAAGGTACAAGGTGTTGGTGAGTGTGAGTACAGAGCTATGATGTGTGTATCTTGGTATTACCTTGTTATCTTATGGATAAAATCTGTGGATCTCCCAAGTTTTTTAGTAGTTTGTCACTTTGATATTTAAGATCTCCAGGTTAGTATATACAGGTGTGTTGTAAGCAGGACAAGGAGGAAGATATGTTATGAATATTTAACTATGCAAGCTGTAATACAGATAATTGAAGTATGATGTAGATTTTTTTTTTCTTCTTTAGTTTTTGTCATTTGTGATATGATAAAAATTGCAGGTGTAATGATTTAATTATTTCCTACATTTTACTGTCTTTTTCCATCAGTCTTTATGCAATTCTCAGGTCAGATTTGTGTTTCAAGGTATATGTAATAGATTAAGTTTGGTTGCATTCAGGCTCTTTATTATTATTATTGTTATTATTAATAATAATAATAATAATAGTAATAATAATAATAATAATGATTTTATTATTATTATTGTTTTATTATTATTATTGTTATTATTATTAATATTGTTATTAA